AGAACATTGGCTCCCTCGGCTGTCCTGAGGACACTCGATAGCGACCGTCCTATGAGCGAAACCATATCGTCGGGTCCAATCGGCTTTGATTCCTTCCCTGACTTACGGATCATCAGGCCCCGCTCGATCAACAACTCAATGTACTTGCGGATCACAGGAGCCCTGTCGCACGGCTGGTAGATCCTTTGAAATCGAACGTACGACAGTATAACCTTGCCTTCTATTGTCGACAGTTGTATGGGCTATCAGTGTACTCAAATTGAAGATGTGTCAGTGGAACTTCACAAACAATGTCCATCTTTGCTTAAAACAATTCCCGCTTACAGCAACATAATGCAGAATGGGACATTAAAGTATGCCTACCTTGCCCTTGCCAATCGCTTTGACCAGGAACGCGAAAACGTCCTCGACCACTTGACTCTCTGTCATAGGAAATCGTTGCTCATACGGTCGATATTCCGCCTTCAACTTGTTGGCTCTCATGTTGTGAAAAATGGCTACTCCCGCAAATGCGTCCTTGGCCGCATACCACGTCCACTCGCTTTTTAGATTCTCGAGATCCCAATTCCATTTCAACAGCGCCTTTGTTTTGATCACTTCTCGGCCCGGGCAACCAAACATGGCATCCAATTCTGCCAAAGACACTGCCAGCACATTGTTCTCTGCCGCCATGTCCTCCAAATTGATAATCCCCGCACTTGAGACGCGATAGGCCGATTGCAGCTCCTTGGCATCATTTTTGGCCGCGACACCGACCTTAAGCTGCTTAGGGTCCTCCAGAAACTTCTTGAGCCTTGGTGGGAACAGTTTTCTATCGGTGTTCTGTTTCGTTATCCGGTAAACCGGGAAGATCAAACAAATATCCTGTGATGCAATCTGGATCAGGGACGGGCTATATTTCTTTCTCGAAAAGAAGGCCGTTGTCGTCTCCGTGTCAAATCCAACTGGTCCCGGGCTGCCCTTGATAGCTCTATAGTACTCTGTAAAGAGCTGCATCGCCATCTCTGCCTGCTCATAAGTCTGGGCTACAAAAACTGGAGGAACGTGCCGCACACGCTTCACATGTGCTTCTTCCAATGCCTCGCACAAAATCTGCAGCGTGACACTGAGGGATTCCGCGGTGTGTGGTGGCTGCGTCGTAGACTTGGCTGCGGGTTGCCTGCGCAACTGCCCTGCATGCTGTTTGCGCATCTTTGGTTGGATTCGGGATTTATGGGATAGTTTCGCTACTGTTTCGACAGTATTTTGAGAATCGGAAGATTTTTTCCTAGTCACTTGAGACCGAAGCACGGGTTTTGACAATGGTACTGCCGAGGTTATTGGTGGTGGTGGTGGTGGTGGTGCTGCTGCTGCTGCTGGTGGCGTTAATGTAGCGTTGTTAGGTTTCTTCTTGTCTTTGGACTTGATAGTGATGGTGGATTCTCGAGACTTCTTTGCAAGGCGTTTCTGTGACGCCGAGAGTTTCTTAACAGTCTTTTTCAAGATGATGGGGTCGTCAATAGGCGGCGTGGATGCCTGACTGATAATGTTGGTAGAGACTGATCGGGTGCACGAACGAGGCGCTGGTCGGAGGATGGAGCGAACGTTGCAGATTTTTGAGGACGTTATTGATCCCGTTCCTAGTAATGAAGGAGCTCCAGATATAGCCTTAAGCAGTCGACCCGAAGTAGCGGTGTTGGGTCGAGGAAGCGATAGGGTCGAGAGCGACCTGAAGCAGCGGCAGGGAGAGTTGAAGGCGACTACAGGCACAGACAGCCTCAGTGCACAACTAAACATGACAGTATTCCTTTCAGGGAATTCGTCCAATGTATGTAAGAGTATTGAATGGTCGGCTCTGCAAGACCGACAAGCGAATGGCGAATGGTCGGGGAAAAATAAAGGAAGAAAAGAAAGGATAGAGACGTTTTTTAAAGGGTCTTCTCGCGTGGCTTTGATGTAAAAAAACAATAGGCAGCAAAATAACAAGAGCAAAAAAAGAAATCATATGGAGCAGTTGGGGATTGAACCCAAGGCCTCTCGCATGCAAAGCGAGCGCTCTACCACTGAGCTACAACCCCATTCGATGGGGTTCGGAATTTCCATTGTCCCTTTGTTGCTATTCCTTTTCGTTATATCCAAACATTAAACGTCATGGTAGGAATTAACGGACTCGTCAATATGATGCCTCATGCTGGCCATCCTCATGCTCCTCTCCTTCTTCCCCATCACATTGTTCCTCATGCCCGAAACACAGACAGAACTTGCTCCGGAGAGGATCAGCGTCCCAACGACACTAGAGGAAATTGATCGCGAAAAGGTATTTTCGACATCATACATGCGTCCATTCAAGTCGTTCTGATCAGATTTGAAGCACCCAAACTGATTTCCATATCCTCTCATTCATTCCTTGTAGTTGTGCCCGTTCCTGCTGCGAATGTACTATAGAAATGGACAGCACCACCGGTAAAGCTGCTCATTATTTTTTCTCTGCATTTGCCTCCTCTCATTCATCCACACCATGCTTACCTTTCCATCCTAATTGCTCACCTTCCATAGCGCAGACGACTTTTCGCCCACATCAACACCACCACCCGCAGAGGAACTTCGCCTATACACATGGAAGAGTGCAACCTTGGGCGAGATCACATCCCTCGTCAAGCAGGCTATCCCAGACGTGATCGACCTGGTCGGACCATCAGGACAACTGGCGTTTCGTCACGTCTATCTCGACACGGCCCGTGGCACCTTTGTTGGGCGCGACGTCGGCACTGTACGTCTGGACAATGTCCTGATCGACCCCTCATCGGCATCAACATTATCACAGGACATCGCGCCAAAGGAAGGCTACCCTATAAAGGACCATCACCATCGTGGATCTAGTATAGCAAGGTCAGGAGCCGGAGGAGCATCCATTGGCTCAAAGTCATATGAAAAGACCTTGGGATCGATCAAGTTTGTTATTGGCGATTATCTGGATATTGCAGTCGTCTCGCACACGACTCCAGGATTTTTGCCACCCCGCATACTACAACAATCTTCAGGCGGCCCTATGCGGAATCGTGGTGGACCAAGGTCTGGGCGTTATGGTGGTGGCGGCAATAGCCATAGCGATAGAAGAACGAATCCTATGGGCGATCGCTTTGCAGGTCGTCTAGGAAGTTCCTTTGGTCGAGAAAGCCATAACGACTCCAGCTGGAAGGGTCGTGGCCGTGGCCGATAGTGGTCATCACTCCTATCACTCGACTCATACCTAGCAATACTAGTTAATGTTAATGAAAGAAGCAGTTTTCTCCCCAACCCTCACAGTGGATCTATAAAAATGGCTACAACTAGCATGCGAACACATGAATATAGAGTACACCCATGGTACTCAACACAATGGATAATTATATAAAAATATAAAAGGTCGTTTATGAATCTCCATACGAAACTGCTGGGTCTGCAAACACGATCGAGGACGCGAGCAGCCGCGATATCCTAATTCCACTTCCACCAGAGAGCGATCCATTGGAATGGTGTTGTAATGCAGGTGACGATGCTGTTGTTGTTGCCGCTGCAGATGAAGGTCCTCCGTTGGTGAAGTCGGGACTCGATAATTTGATCGATGATGTAAATGCGGACGATATCCTCCTATTAGGCTGTTGCTGTTGGTGTGTAGCTTGGGCCTGGGTATAGTTTTGATTGTCTGCGACGATGGCGGTGCTACTCGGGTCCTTGGTGATTCCTGGACCGAACACAACTGAGGATTGGAGCGCCCTGGAGATTGTAGGCGCCTTATTGGCAGCGCAGATATTGACCCCTCCATTGCTGTCGCCAGATGACTGACTGGGTATAGATGTAATGTCCTGTCGCTGAAGGGGTTGGTTCACACTGGATACAGCTCGTCCTCCAGTGGGAAAAGAATCGTCGACGACCTGGATGGTCTTTCCACAGTCCAGCAACTTAAACCCTTCAAAAATTGCAAACTGGTTGGGCTGTGGGAGATGTCGATGAAGCTGGAAATGCTTGTTAAGAAACCGGTATAGCTTTGGACTTGGCCGATCATATGCGATCTGGTTGGGATCGATGCCTTCGACCTATTTGTTTACGATGAATGGAAAAAGAGAAAACATACGCATGCATATGACGCGATGCCATGCAAGTGTCAGAGGGGATGCAAAAAAAGATAAATGGAAAAGGGGTCCTCACAGGCACACGAATGCAGTGTGAGATATAAATAAATATAAAAACGCACCTTGATCATGTAGTCAAAGAGCAACTTCCCGAACCCACGCCGCTGGAATGATTCATCCACATAAAAGTCAAGCACGCAGCAGACTTCTTGCTCATGCAGTGCGCCCGACTTGTCCTACACGCATATAAATAAAAAAAAAACGAATCCAAGCATAAGAACGTATACCCTATAGACCAGCCCGCACTTTGACCAAGGGAACCTCAACATTTCACATACTACTATGAACAATTTCTTTTCACCAATCTTGAGCATTCCTGCGACATAGACACCCTTTTCCTCGCTGCGATTCTTTGTGCTCCTCTTGGACGCATTCTCTTGTGCGGACGTGGCGGTCCAGTCCTCAACATTTGAGCAAGAGTCGCCATTGAGATCCATGAGACTCTTCCGGATCGACTCTCGCATCAGAGATGATCCGATCTCGAGTTGATCTAGCCACTGATCTTCGCCATTATCCAGTCCAGTTCTCAGAATATAAACGCGCTGTGTCGGGTTCTTGGCTAGGCGTAGCCGCTGTGTGATTGACGTGGGCAACTCTTGCGCCTGTGGGTGTTTTATGAACAAAAGTGTGGTTAGCACATGTTTTTTTTGGTGTGCTTGATCCGTGTAATATTTATAAAAAAAAGGACCGATGCACGTTCTTCAAAGAAGTTCAAGTACCTTGGCAGAAGCTTCGCCTAGAGCGTCGACAATGGCGCCGAGACGCTCCTGATCTGAGAATGCAGAAGCACCACCATTGTGAGTGGGATAGCTTGAGAGTGAGGAAGAGGAAAAAGACGAGCTGGTGGAGTTCGATAGACCGATCGAGACTGAGGAGGCAAAGGCCAGAGGGGTCTGATTTTGGCTGCTCTCGAGTGCAGCAAAGGTGGCGGCGGGTACGAGGGTGATGGGCAAAGGCAAGAGAGGGATCAATGGAAAGTCAAAGTCCATCGGGTTGGGCTGGAGTCTCGGATTCCGGTTCGATTGAATTCAAATTGTCGTTCTTTCAATGCCGAGAGTAGACTTCGTGATGATTAACAAATAAACGAGGAAGTGGATGCATGAACGAGGAGGATCGGATTCAGGCCAATGCGATTGTACTTTTTCTTGGGTAGGTTTTAGATGTGTGAAGGTCAATGACGAATGTGACGGAATGGAAAGAGATGCCGTGGATGGATAGTGATGAGATGATGAAGTAAAGAGGGAAGGGAAAGAGAAAGAGGAGCTCATTGCCACTTTGTAGACTATGAATGTAAATCAGCCCAGTCCAGCCAGCCAGTCAGCCTGCATGCATGCTCAGAGGAGCGTCCCTCAGAGACCAGGCTCAGTGCTCATTGCGAATGTCCCTGCTCTGTTGGCCATAACCCATCGACAATGAATATACGCCCATACTAGCTAGTCTATCGTATCTCAGCATCCTGGGGGCGTCATGGACTCGGCTGGCATCCGTCAGTAGCACTGACGCACTCATATGTCTTTTCAGGGGCCTTTTCCTCTTATTTCCTCTAGACCCTCTCTGACTCTCTTTGACCCTCTTTATTTCCCCACAATCATTCGCGCGCCCGTTATTTCCGTACAGGGAATTCGTGTATTCAAATAGTTTGACGACACTCCACGGCTTCTTTTCTCTATACTTTACTCTCAACCTTTTCTGGCCACGCTTTCGTACACGCTAGACTTCTTCGCCCATTTCATGGTTAGCTTGTGTCGGCTCCCGTCTATTCCGTTGTCCCAATTCTGATCTTCCTGATCTTGCCATTGCGCTCTTTTTTTTTTTTTTACTGATTCATTTGTGCTCTTAGGAAGTGCATAGTACGCGTTTGTTGCCCCTAATGCAACCCGGACCTTTAACTATCAACAGCGACAACAATACCAACCCCTTTGGGCAAGACTATGATGACGCCCAAAGTAAGTGGTTGAATTCTGAATCCGTCTTTGCCACTCCACCTCCTCCACCTCCACCTTCAATTCAAAAGCGCCTGTCCCATCACCCAGAAATCAACCTCCCGCCCGACGAACACCTAGACCTTCCTGATTACGAGGAATACGACGCGAGGGGAGCTGCAATTGCTGCCACACTCTTTTCAACCGCCGCCATATCTCACATACCCGTAACACTGGAGTCTCGCCAGTGCGACGAAGACGATCTTCCAGATTATGAAGAAGATAATGCGGAGGAGGCCGCGGTTGCTGCCGCTTTAAAAGCTGTTACGTTGGAAGAATATGATCCCATTCAGGGCGCCGAGTACAATGACGTTGAAACTCAACAAAATGACCCCTACCGTGACGACGACATCGACATCGACGCTGAGGATCACCAGAACAGTGAACCCGAGACTGAGTTCGACCGAGAGTTCAACAAAGAGTACGATAGAGTCATTTCTATGGAGGTGAGTGACGACGACTATGATCTAGATGACGAATCCATTCCGGTAGATCAAGAATACTACGGGTATGACTACGACGACGATGTCGCTCAAGTGCCTGGCTCCTCAATGGATGAGATGAATTACAGTCACGGCAAGAATGGCTGCGACAAAGACATTGACAAAGAGTTCACTACAGCAGACCACGACTGCTACACGGACGACGACGACGTCTTCCCAGTCACCCCAATGCTCGAGTCTTCTATCATGGAGGTGAGTGACGACGATTATGACCTTGCCGAAGAAGGGTTCGTTCCAGCAGATTACATAGGCCATCATCACCACTGCTATGCAAATGGCGACTACGACTTGTATGACGACGATTCTTCCATGCTCGGCGAAGCGTTTTTTGCGGTTGCTAATGCCCCTCATGATTGTGGTTGCCCAGCTTGCATTGTTCGCGCTTGAACTTGCTCTCCGTCCACGCTGTAGCATGATGATT